ATCAACAAAGTTTGAAGTTTGTTCAATGGCCTACAGTGACAGTCAGCAGCTCCTGACTCAGCTCATTAATGCAGAGCTCAGGAAGAAGCGCGAACCCATCACTTCCTAATCCAGACAACTACTGCTACAGCCAGGCTGCATCCTGGAGGAACTCTGGGAAAAAAACATATTTTCTGTCTCCCTGACTGATTTTTTTTCTTTGTTTCCTTTCCCCTCCTCAAAACCACCAGCCTTTTGGAGATTTTGTAGATAATTAGCCGTTCACACTATCTCTTCCTCCCCATTCAGGACATGATATAAGCCAGCCTGGCTCAGACAGTCAATATTTCAAAGAGAGTAGGTTTTCCCCAATGTGATAAAGATATACTTTTTTCTATGTCATATTAAGATCTATAATCTCACTGTCTTTTAAGTGTTTGTCCTCCTCTTTCAGGGTATCAGAGCTTCAAAGACAGAAAGAAAAATATCAACATCTATAACACTCCTAAATTCTCATGAGTCTTTGGCATGAGCTTTGTATTTCAAGGTTACTGAAGTGTCTTTGAAACAAGTAGTTTTCCCTGCTGAGATTTAACAATATTAAATAAATATATAAGGATTATGCAAGTGGAATCAAAAGTTTCAGGCAAGCTCTCATAATACAAGTAGAAATTGGAAAAATTATATTCCACAATGGACAGTACAGTTAGCTATTATGAAGATTACCTTAACCTATAATTCGTCAAGTTGGTTGCACTGCATATGTCCAAAGTCTCTAATTGTGAAAATTTGTCACAACCATCTTTAAAATACATAATCTCTGAAAATATTTTAGTTGAACAATTGCATTTATGAGCAAATATTTTTTGTTTCCTGTGTATAGTCAAAAATCCTTTTGAATACTACATGATAGGAAAATAATTGTTACTGATAGGTATTAGAAACTAGGAAAGCACAAACTTAATTCAACAGATTAAAAGAAAACCTACTGGAATAAAAAAAAAATAATTGGTTTTAAATTGACAATTTGGGCCATACCTGGAAAAAGAAGAGCAGATTTGCTCTGTTCCCTATGTTGTTCAAGGGAAAGACTCAGAGATTGTCTTTGTTTGATAGAAAAGAACTATTACACAATAGTAGGAAGTCATAGCCGAATGAAAGCAAACTCTAAATAAACTATACAGGAAAGTGATTCCTTTCTCACTGGAGTAACATCTTTTAGAGCAAGAGTGGCTTCCTTTGGTTTAGGATAAACTTCAAAGTGACACAATTAAAGTTACCTGTATTCCAGAATAAAAGTCCCTGCAGAGAGTTACAGTTGTATCCGCTTAAATTCACACTGAGACTTGCTCCACTATGATTTTTCTTAACTAACAGTCCTAAGATGTGGACTCATTATGATCAGGGTCTGTGTAATGCTTGCTTATACTGAATATATCAAGACTGTACTCCAACATTTGCCAACAAGTTTAAATCTAACCGTCTGTATCTACTGATAAATATGTATCATTCAATAAAAATCAGAGTTATTACAAGCTCCTTTATCGTTAATAGCTTTCCAAGAAATTCTGAGGTCAGCCTTGTTTAACCCCATCTATTTTCAGAAAAGCATGACAAAGTTGTCAATATAGATTCTACTCCCTTTCAACACAAGTAAAATACGGAAAACAGCAGAAGCAGTAGATGAAAGCTCAACCCTCTTTAGAGGCGAATCAAAAGATACTCAACATGCCATCGTTAACTGTTGATTAACATTGTAAATAATTTAAAAATCAGAAAGGGTGTTTTTTAAAAAAATTAACATTTTGAAACAGTAGAAGTTGGTTTCGAAGAGGTCTGCTATTCATACGCATTTCATAGGAAAAAAGAATTAAAATGAAGACTCAAACACTTTGCTTCCTCATCTCTTAAGCATGGTTTTAAATGAATAACAACAAGGCTAAATGTTTATAATTTCTTAATATTCATTCATTAAAAATATGTTTAGTTAGCACAGTTAATATAGTTAATTAGCACAGTATTTCACAGACTGCAGCTGCAGGGTTGACAAACCAAAGATCAAACTCAGTTCACTGGCAAAAATACTATTTCACACATTGTTGGTTTGCTGGTTCTATAAAAGCAATCAAGCCGGGTTCTCCTTTCTACACGTGACATAAGAGTCTGTGCAAAGCTAATCGACTGATACTATTAAATGATGTTTCCCACATGCAAAGAAGTAGAAATCTAGTTAATTCTTCCAACTGACACCAGCCCTACACTTCTAACAAATAATCAAATATTCGGATTGTAGTCAGTCATTAAAAAAACCCAAAACCCAAAACACTAAGATTATGCATCTCAGTGACAGAACTCCAAATATTTATTTCAAGCACCCACTAAACATGGCATTATCTGATGCCTGCACAACTCTAGCAGAGTGATACTTCACATTTTCCTAGCAAAGAATATGAATCCTTAATAGGTTTCTTTTGGCCACACTGTATCACCTTGCAGAAGTAAATGCATAAACTTTGGTTAAAGAGAGGTCAAATACAATCTCTAACCTTCAACTATCTTTTTCCTTTCAGGCACACATTCTATGTGCTGAGATAGAGCCACAAAAGTGTCACACTGTGACAGCAGACAAGTGGTGATTGTTAGCAGTCGTCCATAAAGCTTAAAGTCAGCCCGTCCATAAAGCTTAAAAAGAGTTCAGTCTACCAAGATGACATACATCTGACTTAAAATAAGCAGGTATTACAATAAGAATTTGTAAACATTACCAACTTAAGAGTAGACTTACTGCATAAGTTCTTAAACATGACACACACAGCCCTCAAAACCCTACACTGAACATTTGTTGCCTGGGAAAGCCTTCTCCCTCATTTACTACTGAAATTGGTGCAGTGATTTACAGAGCTGAACGCATGTTGTGTTTTCTTTGGAGTTCTTACTGTCACCCATACTGCCAACAGCAAGTGCTGAAGCACATGCCACAGCTTGCGTAAACCAGATGATCAACAGCGTTATTTTAACATAATCTATTGACCCAAAGTGCAATAGGCAGATCTTAAGATTTTGCTGAATGAAGGTGCTGAGAAGACCGGAGATTATCAGTTCCTGCTAATTATTAGCACGTTAACAGTTGTAACACCATCTGAAAGTATATGTACTCCTCAAACCAGAAATAATAATTTTCAGTTTAAGAGTAATGAAACTAAAAGACAGTGCTAAAGAAAAGGCTAAAGCTACAAATTAACTTGAGGTACAAAGTAACTCAAAGCAAAGAAGGATCAGCAAAAAGCCTGTTAGTTTCTGGCTCTCTACCAAATTTTCAGTAAGTAAAACCAAACGCATGTACAAATATCAGATGCCTATCCAAACTTAGTGCAAAGCACTCACCCTACAAGAGGTAACTTGAAAAAAACCTCACAAGAACAAATTACAGATTGTTAAAGCAAACTTTTAACGGGGACTGAGCTAACCATTCACTAAGTCAGCAGAACTTCCATTCAGAAAACAGAATTATTAGAACAGCTCTTGTTACCTAAGCACTCGCTTGGATCATAGGAAAAATTAAAAAAAAAAAGGGGGGAGGGGGGCGCAAAGAAAAGAGGCACGAGTTTCACATTTTACCCAAACTCTGCCCCTCTCTCCCCGCAAAAGAAATCAAGTTTGTCACAGCCCTACACCCGGGGGCTGGAAAACACACGGAGAAGGACAAGGAGGTGAGCGTTACCTGCCAGCGGCCGTAGCTGAGCAGCAGGAGCGCCAGGGGGATGGCTGTGCCCGACATGGCGTGGGTGGAGGGCATGCTGTACTCGGAGTTGTAGAAGACTTCCAGCTTCACCACGGGCGGGGAGGCAGGCCGCGGCCAGCGGATGACATCCTTGGTGCATTGCCCCAGGTACATCACCCACACCCAGATGATGATAAGCCTCCGGCCCAGCCAGGCGTCCAAGTTCCAGATGCAGAAGGGGAAGAAGAGGATGTAGAAGAGCTCGTTGCCCAGCTCCGTGCCCAGGCTGAAGAGATAGTAGAGGAACCGGCTGCGGGTGGAGAACTCCTGACTGCCGTCCTCCTCCGTGAG